CCGAAAATTTCAGAAGTTTGCCGAATTTGTTTCGTCGACAATCGTATAGAGCCCGAGTATTTTCGAATATAATATAAGTTTAATTAACTGCTAATTACTTATTTGTTTCTTTAAAGGGAAAATACAACATTTGCAAACATCAAAAAATAAAACTACCCAATCATTTTGAAATACCTTGCTGGACTGCTAGTAAATGACAGTGAAAAGCATACTGTAAAATCATGGCACCTGGTATACTGTCATTTTCAAGAAAAGTGGTATTTTTGTATAAACTTCCAACGCTGATCGGCCGATCGGCGTTTGAAAAAAACTGGCTTTTTCTCCAATACTGGCCCCAGTTGACCATCGCACTTGATTGCAATCGATTACACAACTATGAACGGGTACAAGCCAGCTAGACTGGTTCCCTTACCTTACAATTCCCCAATACATGTAAACTGCCCTGTTTCTTCTTAAATGGAGTCAGGGAACCAGACTACAGGAAAATGATTGGTTTTTTTTGGTTTGTATAGCATTTTCGAACCCAAAACCTCAAAAAAGTCAGTGTAACTATATTTGCTATATATTTCCAACCCCCCAATTCCATCCATTTCTGAAAATTACAGCAAAAGCAAATGATGTATATTCCCTCTAATGAGTCGATAATTAATATTCATTGCTTTCATTTAGAAAACTTGAAATTCAACGACGATTTTGTGCATCAAATATACTCGGATCGTATGGGCGAACTTTTGCTGCGTCATGTACAATTTTGAATTTGACGACCGTTACCGAGATTTTCCAAAACTCGGTCTTCATTCGGCTCCGCCTGCTAACAGTGCTATTTGGGTGCCTAATTTTGAAGATTCCAGATCAACATTAGTCAATGTTATCTTATAGAGATATCAAACTGTTTATTATAACTGTATGATATTACGAAGCAAGTGATTTATTTAAAAATTTGATCAGAACATTAAGAGCTATAAGTGATAAAGCGAATTCGGAAACGAAGCCGAGCTTTGAAAAAAAGGGCCATCAATGTTGTCATTATTATTTTTAGCCACGGAGGCTGCCTGACCGCGTAATTTTTATTCTAAGGGGGGTTAGGGGCAATGTCATGAATAATTCAGTAGTTACGATGGGAACATTATGTTTATACATGAGAACGAACAATGACATCAACAGCATTGTTGTTAGTTACTCAACTAGTTACAATACATTAAAGCATTTAAAAGAACGGGTGTCGTCGAGCTACCACACAGTAGCCTAGTGGATAGCGAGATGAGCTTATGGATACAAAGATCACTGGTTCGAATTCACGTCGTCGCTGCTCATTTTCATCAGCTATTTTTCTTCTCCAAATTTATCACTGAGATAATTTTAAATTAAAGGGAAAATAGAACGAGAACCTAAGTCTTGCAATGATTCAAAGGAAAAACTGAATTATTCATGACATTGCCCCTAACCCTCCTAGGAAAAAAAATACGCTGCCTGACCTAAGATTCATCAGGAATAGTCAGAATCTTTTGGACTGGGAACCAGACTAGCACCAGCTCGGCCATACATCACCGATTTTAGTCTGGTTCCCAGACAAACAATTCTGACTCTTCCTGATGAATCTTAGGTCAGGCAGCCTCCGTGGCTAAAAATAAACATGACGACATTGATGGCCCATTTCCAAAGCTCGGCTTCGTTTCCGATTTCGCTTTATCACTTTTAGCTTTTAATATTCGATCTGATCAATTTTTAAAGTAAATCACTTGCTTCGTATGATATCATTCAGTTATGATAATACAGTTTGATGTTTCTGTAAGATAACATTGCCTTATGTTGATCTGGAATCTTCAAAATTAGGCACCCAAATAGCACTGTTAGCAGGCGGAGCCGAATGAAGACCGAGTTTTGGAAAATCTCAGTAACGGTCGTCAAATTCAAAATAGTACATGACGCAGCAAAAAGTTCGCCCATATACGATCCGAGTATATATTTGATGCACAAAATCGTCGTTGAATTTCAAGTTTTCTAAATGAAAGCAATTAATATTAATTATCAACTCAGTTAAAAAACAATTTAATAAGCAATTAGCAGTTTATTAAACCTATATTTATATTCGGACATACTCGGACGCTATCCGATTGTCGACGAAACGAATTCGGCAAACTTTGGAAATTTTTGGGAAAAGGAGGAATTCCTCCCGTTTTAGTCACGTGACGTAAATTGTAATACAATGTATTACCAGAGGCTACCGGACCTAAGATTCAAAGGGAATTGTCAGAATCTTTTGGTCTGGGAACTACACCGATTTTTCCCGGTTAATTCCGGCGGGCTTTTAGGAATTTGTTGTACCCCCCGAGTAGATCGAGCTCCGGATTCCCGTTACTATACAATGGGGAAGGCGCGGTATGTGCGCCTGTCTAGAAATGTAACAAGTTAGGAATGCGCTCTCTTTGTGATCTCCAGCGCTCAGCGTGGGAACGTGCGCTGGCTAGCCCACAATAATTATTGCATAATTACATTTCATCGGCACAGTTTTCTGGCTGGGGCATTCGGTAGCCTTCCTGTAATCGTTTGACCAATTAACGAGCTCTGAATTCCCGGATAATTAATTGTCACGTGACAAGCGGTGAACAACCGCTAGTAAACAATCAGCCACTTGCTCCAAGAAGTTTTTCCCTTTCGGACGCTCTCCCGACCTGCCCTCCCCAATTTTGGAGGTTTGCGGGAAGGTGTACGGCACAATAACCAAGCACCCGTTAAGGTTATTGAATACATTCAGGACAGTTAGGGTATAACCCTTACTGTATCCTCCAGTTTTAATATAATTTTTTTTAATATAGGATATCGCAATGAAGTGAATCTTACCTGCTTTGCAAATTGCTATAGTGAGAAACATCGGCCATGAGAACAGCACAGACGCCATTGGTGAATGACGTTCCAGCTATATGCACGCGTCACGGGAATCTGTTCTTGTGTTAAACTTTATTGGAACTTTGCCATATCCGAATACATGTTTACGTGTATACAGTCTGGCTGCGTTAATATTATTATCCCGAGGTCAGGGGCACGGAGGGCGGTACGTGATGGCACACTGGGTCACTTTCATTCTCGACAGGACGTATAAATCACAGCGTACGAAAAAATGAAGAGAAACAAGTGAGTGTGGAAAACCACATGCTTTTGTCATTGCCACAGTAATAATAGATCAGCCAAAAAAAAAAAAAACCGTGTCATATTGGAATAACATTTTGGTACTCTATCATAATATAATCTGTCTAGGTTGTATTCCATGCTGGCCACTGACAAAATATGATTCAGAAAACAGGAAATATTTCATATACATTGCTTAAAAATTTGAATATGCGACCGGGATCTGCGGAATGGGTGTTAAAGACATTTTCCCACTAATAATTTGTTGATGAAGAAAGAAGAGTGCGTCTGATGATCTCTGATATTTACATGTTGATATATTACTATTACCACCGTCGACGTTTTCTTTTCGCGAAGTAGCTTATTAGGCAATCGGTTACTATTAAACTCTTTAGCATTTGTGTGCCCTTGTTTTTACATTTTGAGGTTGATTATATGATTTATAATAATAATGATCGTGAAGTTTAGAGGTTTGCTTCTTTTCGATGCGGTTTCTACTTAGTTGGATCGTTTCACTTCGATCCGACTCCTCGACTTTTTAACTTGTTACCGTTCATGACGAAATTCATTACTGGCAAAAAATAAATCAATCAATAAATTAAAAAAAAAAACCACAAGAAACACCGAAAACAAATTGATGCGAGATATGGCATGTACTCTGAAGAGGGCGCTATTTCAAACCTAATTTTTCTTGTAGTTCTTTTTCTTTTATAGGCACAGCATCGCCACCAGAGCGAGATATATTAACCAAAATTTCCATTTGTGACGGTCAATTTCACTGTTTGGCATCGTTTGCCTCTTTTGTGCGTTTCTCAGCCGATCTCCATTTTGAATTACACATTCCTAATCATTTGCATGGAAGCATAATTGCATTTGAATTGAATTGGACTTCTGGTATACTGGAGTGGTTCTATTTGACTTTTCTTTTATCCCAGCGATTATGTTGGGGTTGTTTTGCATACTAACGCACGGATGATTAAAAAAGTGGAAGACAGGTTAATAACAGCAAACTCGTTGTTCGTATAATGACTTACTGAAAATATGAAATGAACCGGACATTGCGAATATTAATTATTGGAAATAACCTACTATGCTCTGCAAATCTACGTTTCCGTTAAAATATATTTGAAGGGAATTAGCGGTCAAAGGCCTTATTAAAGGGCATGTATAATTTGTAAGTAAGCAGGGTGTCCTGTCATAGAATATTCAATCATCTAAACATTTACATGCCGAATTTCGGGAGCAGCCACGAATTTCACGTGATAGCTAGTCGATCGTTTCCGTGTAAGTTTTACTTACACGTGTCAGGTAATCGAACGCAGCCATATATTTCGGATCACAAAATGGACTGGAGGGGCAGAAATGCACATGTGATTGCTTTGCATACCAACACTCGGATGGCTGAAAAAAAGTAGAAATGCAGGGTAATTACATACAGCAAATTTGCTGTTTGCAATTACTTAAACAAAATAAAAATGACCCACTTAGTTGCAAACCCTCATTAAAACAGATTACCGGATGGTTCGAAGTAGGAATTATCTCTCTCTCAACAACGTATTATTTTGTTTTTTTAATTCATAAAACGAGTTTACTGACCCTTTTTTAGTTAATATTGCAGGTTGCAGTTATACATGTATAACATAATCTACTGCGTAAGAAAATTTATTATAGAATGTAAGATTGCAATAATAATTGATCGTACATTTTTAGATAGATCTGTTTGAAAAGTAAAGTTCAGATTTATCAACAACATAGTGTCTTGTAGAACATGGCTGGTATCTCACTGATATACCGCATCTGCGCAACACATCATTGGCGTGGTAGGTGTCTTGGGGAATGGTCTTATCATCACGGTTATCTGGCGAGTCCCCTTCATGCACACATCATCCATAGCGATTATCTGCCATCAAGCAATCATCGACTTTCTGGGTTCGCTGCTGCTGATTCTGCAGCTGAACATTCCCTTACCACATACGATCGGCGGCGAGCTGCTGTGCCGTGTGTGTATCGGGCATGTCACCCTCTTTCTGCTCTTCGTCGCGTCCACCTACAACCTCCTTGCCTTGACTCTGGGCAGGTACATCAACATCGTTAAACCCCTCCGCTTTCGGATGATTCATTCCGGCAAGGGAGTAGCAGCAACGATAGCAATCATGTGGCTGCTTGTCACGTTCATCAAATCCTACTCGTTCTTCCTTTACAGCGTCGTCGACGGCCATACGTGTGTCTTCCGAAACTTCCAATCCTCCAAGGTAATGGGCCCGCTTATCATCTGCCTCCGGTTCTCCCTTCTCACCGTGATTTTGCTCTTCTGTTACATACGCATCGCAAGGACGCTGAAGCGTTAAACAAAATTCATGTCCCTGAAAACTACCATCGTTGACCAGGACCATATAACGACATCAGAGGTGGGTCGGGCGGAGCAGATGCATCAGCAGCATCAGCTTCTCAGGGTAAGAAGGGACATGTTCGAAAGTCTGGTCATTGTCTTTGTGACATTCGTTGTCTGTTGGACTCCCAGCCAGGTCACCTACTTCATGTTCAACATTGGTTGGATCGATTTGGACGACAAGGGACCTGTTAATGTCATCGGAACCAAAATGACGGCATGCAACTGTTGCCCCAACCCGATCATCTATTGTTTTAAGTACAAGCTTTTCCGCCAGACGATCTGTACGATGATTGCCGTCCAGGTAACGAACAGTATGATTGTCTTATCCCGACAGCAGCCACTAACACGACCCAGAACTACAACATGCAAGAGTTCAAAATGACAGTCAACGGGTAAATAAAAACAAGAGTCGAAATGGGTTATGGGTAATGACCATCGCGCTACTGCACTTTGGCCAAGAGTGAAATATCACTTTATTCAAATGTAAATTTACTCCACCAGACTGAATTGAGGGACAAGACGATTGAGAGAGTTATTCATTCAATCGAAGCATTGACTAAAATGAACTATTTTAATTAATTAAAATGTTTAATGGTGTGCACTCTGAGTTGTCTAGCTCCAGTTTCACTATTTAGAACCGTGCTGGTTTCTCTTTCAATTCCCATTTTTTTTCTGGCAGTATGAAATTTGGGAAAACATGAACAATATTGGAAGACGGTAGTGTTTTGAATCTAGTCTACATTTTAGAATAAATTATATGTAATTGTATGAGGTTTTCGGCACGTTTTTCAGAATGGACTCCAATGGTAAAAAAATTAATAGGTATTTAAGAATAGGTGGTCTATTTGTTTTTCAGTCACAGACATTTTTTATCTTAAAAGCAGGATTGGTTAGAACAAGTACCGGATTTGAGGTGCTGCTATGCTGTCATCCGTTTCTTTCCTCTCTTAAAATACAACACATTTTTGCATTTCGTCGGGGAGGGGGGGGGGGTCCCTGTCCCTTGTGCAACATAGGGGAGAGCTACCCTCTCCGTCAGAGGCGTGGCATTTGTTTCACTCCCTTCAATTGACGAGCTGTTACAAACATCAAGACGCTTTCAAAAATAATTCACCCATTCCTATTGGTCGAGAGCCCGTCACATGGTCGGTTTCAAACGGTTGATGAAGACCGGCATGCTGGTCTGAATCAATTTTCCAGTTTCACATTGTAACCAGGTCGGATTTCAGTACTTACTTTTACCCGACAGGTTCCTTACTCCATGTACTCCAGCATTCATTTCATAACTTTTGTAACTTCGTGTTTGTGTCATTTTACATGTGAGCAGCCATTGCAATCATGCTTTTTGCCTAGCGCCCTCTCGCGGCCAACTAAACTTTTTTTTACAGCGCGCGCCGCCTAGAATTTTACTTAACTATGCGATGGGCGTAGCGAGCATGCGAGTTTTGCGTTCCACCGCGCTTTGTTTAAGAGGAATAGCTGACATTCCGGGCGTTTTCGAATGGTTTTCTTGTAGGGCTAGGTCCAAAATATTGTTGATTCCGTTCCAACTCTGCTTTGGGTTGACATCTATCTGCCTGGTTCTGCTCCTGCTTTGCGACCAGCATTTACAGCGAGCATTGCACACTCCACTTTTTTCTGCAAGTTTTGGGTGCGGCTCCCCGATAGCAGCAATATAATTTTATATCCGGCGTTGCCGGCATTGCATTTTGCAATATTTTTTGCTGCTTCTACATCAATTTTAACACCGAGCACGGAGAAGACATGAACGTAGATCATCCCAAGTGGTGAGTAAATCCCATGTGTCTTATTTAACTCTTTTATGCCTGAAGCTGTTTCTACGAATGTAGGGTTTTAAACCATGTAATGTGGTGCATCGCTGATTAACCAGGTCTCCTCTCGCTGCAGTGGACTTAATTGACCATATCAAAGGCACCTAAACAGCTGAAGCTGGCAATTTGGGAAAATGGCGGGTATTTTTTTTTACAAAGCAAAGCTGCGAAATTAGGCCCTTTTGCTGAACATCTTAGTATTGTACAACATGAATAAGCTAAAACTATGCAAAATATCATGCCTTTATCATCGAAGGCATATAAGACCGATTCTGAAGCCCAGCCCAATGAGGTTTTGGTCAATTATTACGGTCCTGATTAACCCTATTAGGACCGTGAAGGAGCACAAGCGTCTTGTAATAGCACCAAAACGCTTTTGCCGATCGGCATGAAATTTGGTGACTTTTCCAAACTTGTATCGGTGTAATATTGTAACAATAATTCATTAATTACTTAATACGTAAGTCCAACTTAGGTTTAGTCAAACAGTTTTGATACCCAGGCTTGGTCTGACTATAGAGGGCGATATGTGCGTCGCGCGCCATGTATATAAATAACCAAGGGCCTCGCGCTGTCTGACTGTTAATACGTGCAGTAACCCAAACTGCCCTAATTCATTATATTGGTACTCAAATTCCGGAGAATGTCCTTGGTTAGCATGGCAAGCAATTTAAAACTACATTCATAAATACCTCAAACAGTTTAGCTATTCCTATTGGTCGAGAGCCCGTCACGTGGCCGGTCTTAAACGGATGATAAAGACATGGCTAGCTGGTCTTAAACACTTTTCCAGTGTCACAATAAAAAGTGGACTCCTAAAAATCCGGTGCCTCTTACCATTTTATTGGTTGATCGTTCACAATCCTCACGTAGGCATGCGGAACACTATACCAGCGAGTCAGAATTTTATAGTTCTAAATTCAACACGCAGCGCCCCAGGTGCGTTCTGCGCGACATCGCGCAGAACATGCTACGCGCGCGTCAATCTCCATAAAAGGGTTGTTTACATCTTACTCGCCAGCTGAACACTCCAGTATTTTGCTAGAGGGATGTTTCAAAAAGCACGAAGTGAACTTATTGAACAAAATCAGGATTTTTGAACGAATTATTTGATTTCTTTATACCAAAAAGGTTTTTATGAATGGGAATAAATATGTGCTCGGTCGGTATTTATCACTCTGTTTAAGACCGCTTAGAGTCTGGGTGCTGATAATTACCCGACCCTCCGGCTCGGGTAATTATCAGCACCCAGACTCTAAGCGGTCTTAAACAGAGTGATAAAAACCTCTCGAGCACACATTTATTCCCTTAGTAATGTTAAAGCTTGGTTATTGTGTGTAAGTACATGAAAATAATTGATTTTCGTTGGTAAAACCATGTTTTCTCTCGTGGAACCAGGTAGCCACACTAGGTATCCACATTAGACTACAGTTCATAGTCTCGTGACCAACTCCAAAATGGCCTCCATTTGCGCATCAAACTGCTTTTAATTTTCATTTTTCTGCAGTCTACAATATTGTCGTTGTTCTGGGGTACTTCTTTAACATTTTGTGCATAAAAAATGCAAAAAAAAAAACTGCCATAAGTACTTGTAGGGCTCATTGTGGTAGAAAATACAAACATTGGAACAAAAACAGGAACAAAAAATGAAATTTGCCCCGAAAGTGAGTACAACGCCCTCTAACGCTTACACTGTGTTTTAAAAGGTGTTTTAATTGGATATATACCGACCAAAAGAATGTTTGGTACCAAGTACCAAGTGGGCAAAGCTGTTGGTTGGTCAATTGTTGTCAGCTGACCTTATCACACTGATCAACATGTTTGGATAGGCTATGGGGAAATACTTGAAGTGAAGGAAATGTTACACTTGCAATGCAAGCTGTTCAAAATATATCGTGTGAGGGCGCACTTTTGTGGAACAAACGGCACACGACGCCGGCGTGAGGCTATCCACTATAGCGTCTCGAAAGAGACTATAACATGTTCACTTTATGGGAGTTATAATAGGTCCGAGACAGAGAATTTACTCTCGAGCAGAACATCTTACAGAAAACATATCATAAACTGGGGTCACCTTAGTTATTACCCTTGGTAACGGGCAGAATTAAGCCTTACCATGTATAAACCTACTACCGGTATTACTGACAATTCTATAATAAAATTAATTTCATGAAAGACATTTCCTAAACTATTATGTTGCTATTTTTCCATGGTTATAAATAACATTATTGTTCAGTTATAATTGTACAAGTTTTGTAAATAATATCAATTTCATTCAATTCGGATATTTTGCAAAGTTGTCCCGCTATACGGGGAAATTTTGATAACACACTAGGAGGCTCTAAATCATATTCAAAAAAACGAATTGAAAAATTGTCACTAGGTTTCAGATTAGTGTTCAGGTGCAAACAAGTACAAGGGAAAAATATTTGGCTTGTCATGTTTCGGACATTTATTATTTATTCAGCCAAATAAAAGAATACAAATATACAATAGACAAAGACTGCAATACATAGGCCTATACATCAATAACCAGGAAAACACAAAGAGAAAAAATTATAAAATTCACCAAGATGGGCTAGGGGCAACTAAAGCAAAACAAATACTGTAGTCTGTAGACCTATAACCCCTCAGTCAATTTGATTGATTATTTGTTTAAAACCAAAAAGAGAATATACCAAAGAAAAACAGGTGATTGATCCTATTACAGATTATATGCTGGGTATATTAAGGATAAAAGGGGTACAAGGGATTAACTACACCTAATTACAAAAGAAAATACGATTAATTGCACGCAAACAAATATAAAATTAGAAATACAAAAGGAACATTAAAAAGATACACCTGAAAGGAACATTAAAAAGATACACCGAAATTAGACCTACAGCTTGCTGGAGCGCGCACCTTTAATGTTTACTATCCAATGACTGTATGGAATGTGGTTTCTACACAATGTAATTTGAGCCACCCGACCCTCACAACCAGCCCATTCACCCCTGATTAACCTCTGGCATGTCTGGAGTATCTCTCAGGCCCCAAACAGCCGTTAAAACCACAGACATAACCCCATTTGACATTCCATTTTGGTCACAGGGGTGATCGAATAATCCCAATGTATATAGTGCATTTGTACACAAGCCTATGTAAATGTGCACAAGCACACAGGGTTTTCCCGCCAATTTTCAACCCCTCCAGTAGGATCACAAGACTGACACCCCCTCTGAAGGAGGTACTATGGTCCATACTACGATCTGGTGAGAGATGGCCCCGGGTGTGTTTACCACGTGGCCAGGACAATATAAAACATAAAAATGTGAAGAAACGATTTTCCATTCTGAATCAGGGGGAACATTAAAATGATGGCAAGAACGAACACGTACCTTGCTAAATACCCCCCGAAATAATCCATGTTAAGAAACAAATCTCTGAAAGTTAAATCGACGATCATAATCAAAGTGAAAACCTAAAAAGCCGGTTAGAGAGCCTACTCTAGAATTGACATATCAACCCACTGTGGCTCAGATCTGGCATTAAAGATCCCATACGAAGCTGCTTCAAGCCCATTTGCTTAATTAGATGAGAACAACCTGTCAAATCTACCACAGTTGACGGTAGGTTAAACACTGCAATGATTTAACTCGTTTCTTGCAGTGGAGGTCTTCTTTCCCTGTCTTTTAATCACAATCGTAAAATAACGCTACTAGTTTGGACTGGACTAAATATCAGCCTGGGGGCTTACATTATAAGTATTTCAAATGCACAGAAATGTAACGATTTTATTCAAGGTTTTTTTGGGGGTGTGCATCCGTTGCCATAATATCGCAATGGAGATAAGATCGTTCGGAGGCTCGAGTTTCGACATGCAATTTTCTCACAAGTCAGAATTTCCAGCAAATGTCTGGTTTTGGTTTATCTGTTCTAATCACCTGCAAATAAACAGCATTTAACAGCTCCAGTTACCGTTGTTTAACCAAGAAGCTCAGTCGTTTTTGTATTATATTTTTTTATTGTAAAACATCTTTTCCCGATAGTTATCAAATTCGGACGCTCTCTGCTAGTATTTGAGATGCCCTTGAAGATTACAAAAGGTCTTCTCCACATTATGCACGTAGTCAAACGAGCTTCATACATTAAGGTGAACTATGTTCACTACAAAAACTGTGGTTGGCAAGCAAACACTTTTGTAAACACTTTCTTTTACAATCATTTTGTAAACATGTTTAAATACTAAACATGATTAGAGTGTTGATGGATATAAATATTTAGCAAATGAACATCGATGTTTAGGAATTGGACACATAGTGTTTAGTTTCTTTACATGATTACAAAGTGAGAGGAGGATTGTGTTTAATTGCTAAACTCACTTTCTAGAGTAATCCTTTATTGTTTTCTATATTTCTTGAGTTTCCAAACACTATGTGGGTTTCATCCAACCTTTATGAATGAATATTTGTTCGTCGTGTACGTCTCTGCAGATTTCCCCAGGATTGCAAGCTACAGTGACATAATAGACGGTTTTAAAGAATCTTTTTATACCAGAAATAATACATGCGTATATGGAATATTTAATTATATTAAACGGTTTTTCGGGAAATCGTACCATAGCATCAATAAAATGTGAACAAATTTAGACATCATTAGCTATACATATACGGACGACTGTTTTAAACAACAGTTACAGCTAGAACTAAATGCAATAGTACTTTTGATTTCAAGGTTACAGTTGTTCCGATAATAGATTCATTAAACATTGAACCCCATTATGTATTACTGATCGCGTCCCATACTGTTATTCCTAAGGATATTTTCGTATTAAAAGTATACTTTAAAAGCTTATACCTGCACGGTGTTTGGTCCCAAAATGAGAGTTCAAAACGAAATATATATAAATTCTTTCTCTTGTCCCGTTTCCTCTGAGCATTCTTTGACATTCGTTTTTCTTTTATTTCAAGACCGTATATCATCCATTCACTCATCCCTATCGATTCATTCAAAAACGTCAGCAGATCATTCCGGGGGAAGTATAGGGTGAGTAAAAAAAACCCGAAACCCAAATGTTGGGACCATTGTTTTAGTGAAGTTCCGCATGTAGCACTTTCAAAATCTAGGATATGAAAGCCCATTTTAAGTACAAGAATCATTCGAATTTCTCATGTACTTTTCAAGTTACGGAATTTTAAACACAACCACCGTTTTAAGGTTCTGTCCACGGTTCACAAAAACCGTTCAGTGTTCTTTCAGCAAAACAAAAACAAATCACATAGGGATGTGTGTAAATTGTTTTCGTTTTGCTGAAAGAACGCACACTTTTTTTGTGATCCGTGGTCAGAACTTTAAAACGGTGGTTGTGTTTAAAATTCCGTAACTTACAAAGCACATGAGTGATTTGAATGATTCCTGACTAAAAGAAAGCTTTTGAATTAGGCTTTAATGTCCTAGATTTTGAAAGTGCTACATGCAGAAATTCAATGAAACAATAGTCCCGACATTTGGATTTCGTTCTTTTGTACTCACCCTGTATAGCGTATAACCCCATGCGGATAAACTGTATGTTCCCAAACACTTTTGAACTGATACCTCAAATGCTGATCCATTCCTCACAGTTCACAACGTGCACGTACAATTCTGGTCCGATATGTATTTTGCATTCACACGATCAACTGTTCATGCATGTCTCCTATTCTCGCGCTCACCTTCTAAAGCCACACTCGTCACAGAGGTGCAATGATGATGACAAGCACAGCAAATAACAGCACAAAAAGACTGAGGCATCCTTATCAAGGAAACAAAACATCACATCAACCAACCAACCAACTGACAGCCAACCAACCAACCAACTGACAACAATGCTGTCTCTCAAACTTACAATTTCTTTTTAGCTTTTTGTGATAAATTCTTTCCTTTCACAAGTGCCCTTTTTAAAAACATTATTTATTACACATGCCATTCTTTTGAATATGCTTCGGATTCAAAGTGTAACGCACTAATGCTTCACCAGACATTTCTCAGACCAACTGACGTCCATCTTAACTCTCCATCGACACTTTATCACACATTGGATATCCCACTCAATTTTCATTTTACCTCTAAATACGACGACTTCTACCATCTCAGTTTGACTTTTAACCTTTGCTTCAAAACGTTGCAAATTTGACAGGTATTGTTTTGTTATTTACCAGACGAGGATTTTGTCTGAATCAAAGTACCTCCAGCATCTGTATACTATAATTACCCAGGAATAGAAGAAAAAAAGTTGTTATTTTTTCGGATCTTAATTACCATTGGTTAAACTCCAAGAAGTAATATCTAATTGGGAGAACATCGGAGTGGGGGACGGCGACAAGTTTCCCCCACAGTATTTTGCAAATGTTTCCACCGTTGCAAGACTGTGGTAGATTTGACAACGTGTATTTTACAGCGAAGAATAATTGTAGGCGCCACCTCCAAACCCTGTAGGAACGTCATCCAAATGTGTTCTTTCAAAATACAATATTTTACGGACGAAACAAATGCGTGGTACTTTTTAGTCCATTTTGCACCGACTCCAAACTATAATCATGAATATTTTACCTCGCCAAAACATTGGTCTTAACTCCACCTGTTTCCTTATTCATCATATCTCTTGCACTGTTCATTACAATTGCCCACATGCGCTAGATTAATATCACTGTACACAGACACACACACCCAAGCATACATGACACATTAAAAAAGAGTTATCTGGAAGATGTCTTCAAGAGTAAAGCATCTTTGAATCACTCAACAAAAATGAGACTCGTGCTATGTGCACATTTGGTTCTGATATTCGAACTGGAACTAAGGATTTCGCTTTTGAGTCCGGCAGCTAAGGACATGACAGACTTGTCGCAAGCTCCTCTTCTTGACTCATAAAAACAGTTACCTTGATTCATATCTCGGTACAAGGAGAAGAACTTGAATCATTGGAGCCAATTCCGACATGGTGCTGGACTCTCATAAATGACTCTCATTTAAGAATTACGCAACAGAATCGCACCGAATCAATATTATACTTATAAATTGAACAGTGAACATGAAAAGCTCGACGCTTGAAAAAGCTAGATAAAGTTCAAGTTGTTGTCGATTGGAACGAAATACAGAGCGAGTTGAATTCAAATGAGTTGAATTCGATGATGACAATTAGTGCAATGTCTGGCACTATCGACTATTTGGGACCGCTGTAGTCATAATTTGAATGCTTTGGGTTCGATCGGCGACTCTGAAACATGTACAACTTTGCCTTTAGTATGGATATGTCCGTACGTACGCTATGTAGCATAATTATACTCTCCTACGGGTTTACACGTCTAGCATATAGTTTAGGATATTAAGGCGTTCAGTCTGCTAACCATTTTTTTTCTGGATATACCGAGATCTTACCACTCCTGGGCACAGATCTTTCCGTGCAGCTGTCCCACGTCTGAGGAATAGAGTCTCCCCATTAACATCCGTTCTAGCACATCTCCCAGCTCATTGAAAACGACTCTCTAAACACACAACTGTAATTTATATCACCACGGCATAATTTCTCTTTCTTGTCAGAATGTAAAATTATGTACCATTTTTAGATTGTTTTCTTGTTTGTTAATGTTTCTGTTTTTAGTTGGATGTATGCGCATTATCAGTGTTCATTAGTATTTGTATTATCACTTGTATTTGTATTATTACTCAATAGTTTCCCATTGTCGTACTTGCTAAGAACACACTCTCGCAATCTAACAGCCTGTCTAATGCTCGTCTGTGTTACATTACCATAGTTTTCCCGCCTAGATGACACAAATCAATGCTCAGCCATGTCTTGCAGCAATGCTGGAATGTGAAGTATTTGCTTTATATGTACATTAGAATCAGAAGTCTATTCCAGCTTATCACATTCATTGGGTTGTTGGGACAAATTCAGGGAGCATAATGTCTGACGAATATATTATGCTTCCACAGCCGGCTTTTTCGAAGTTTTGACCCATATTCATGCATGGCGCCAACCATAATATGCTAATACGACCTGCGATGAATGATACGATAACGCGGTACCCGCTGCTATGTAAATCAGATTCTATGTACATCAGTGGTAAGACGTCTGCACTAGAAAGCAAGAGGTCGTGGGTTCGAGTCCAACCGAGTGATATTTTTTCCAACTTTCACTCGGGAGGTAACACACTGAGTATACAGTCTTTACGCGTCGGTGAAGGGCGAAACCTAATATTGATGAAATATGATGTTAAAAGGAGCCACGTTAATGCAGGTCAATACAATTTCGAGGGATTCAGACCCTGCTTCCTACACTGCAGTCAGAGTTGAGCACAGAAACCACTGTACCATTGCCTTCGACAACCACGTGGTGAGTCTGCCTCTGAGGTGATTGGAATGATGAGTTCTGTTCCTCGTCTGGCGTTTTAGCGGGCTGTGAGTTCCCGATGCATGCATCTGAGAGGAACACACTGCAGTTTGGCAAAGTGTCGAGCCTATCGTTCGGCTTGACGATGCATCCTGGTGATGGTGGTGGCAACAGAGTGTTTTGGTATGGCTTGGATGGGCTTGCCTGGACCGGACGCCTCGTCACGGGTGAGCGAGAGGGACTGGACATCCCGAAGGACTTGTCAGGCCCCGTGGACCGCTGATAGGTCCCCATGCGGAAATTAGAGGTAGGCCGTGAAGACCGTGTCTTCATGCTGCTGTGGCGCATCACGTGGTGGAACGCACGCGGAAACTTCATCTGCATGACGCACTTGCGGAAGTTGGCGTTGAAGACAATGTACACAAGTGTGTTGAATATGCTGTTGCTCATAGCCAATGCCTCCACGACGTAGAAGAGAGTGTGGTAAAGCGCAAAGTTCTCTGACATCGACGCGGGGATGACTACGTCACGGGTGATGGCGAATCCATGGTAGGGGGCCCAGCAGAGTGCAAACAGCGCCACCACAATGATAAGCATACGGATCGTCCTCCGTTTGGAATTCTCAGCCGCTTGTTCCTGCTCCTCCGTGTTATGACCACCGGGAATCTCCCGGAACCACAGCGTCTTGGCAATCAGGTAGTACGCCACGCACATAGCGACCAGCGGAACCAGAAATTCCGCAGACACCATTAGCAGAGTGTACGCCTTCATAGCGTAGCCGTTCTTCCAGTTCTCGGCGCACTGAACGATGACCGTGCCATCGAGTAGCCGCACCGTGTACAATTCGCTGTGGACGGCAACCGGAACCGTGACTGTGGTGGAGACTAGCCAGATGATGGCCAATAGGATAGATGTGGTGCCTCTGGTCATCCTTGGCTTCAGTGGATACGTGATGACGATGTATCTAAGTCAATAAAAATGAAAACAAAAATAATCAATATAACCACTGTAATGTGCTCAAATACAACAATTTGGCTATTAATTTAAGCTTTCAACCTCGAGACAAACGTGGACCCTGGCAGGGTAACTTGCCTCTTCTTTTCCCTGAATCGAATTTTGAGATTTTTCGACGTGTATCATGTGACGCTCACTGTGAATTACTAGGTCTAATCCTCCTCATAAATGTTATCCCATTTCCAATACGATCATCACTTATTCTTTCATTTCTATTTGCTTATTATCCTATTGAGCGTAATATTTTGAAATGATCATGTTTTCGGATCTGGCATGGCAACGAAGTGCTGCAGTCTGTACCCGGACCCTAAGGCGAAATTTGACAAACAACATTGCAAATTCATCCAACTATTCCCTAACTAATTATGTCCACGATTTTTGACATGCAAATGATCCAGAACGCAATTCTGTGACCATAAAGTCACTGCCCATAACTCGCATGTGTCAATAGGTGACGAATGTTTCTCGGAATTAACTTCCCTTTAAACAATTCTTCCGAGCTCTGAATCAGAAGAAAAGGGTCAACTTATTCCATCCATCAGTAGAACTTGATTAGGCCAACAAACAAAAATATTCGGTCTCTGGTCAGACCAAAGTTCCGGAATTGACGCGGCGATGCGGCTTTTTTTTTTCTTCAAGCTTGGATTGTACAGACAAGGTGGGGTACTATTTAGCTTTTTTGGTGTCCTCATGTACATTGGTGTCCATAATTTGCCTTGGTGCTCTCGATCATTTGCCTTGTGCAATTTCCCATTCCTTGGTGCTCTTTGGTAAAAAAAAAATGAGGAGGTGCGGCAATAGAGGGTGCTGTTGGAGCTACGGCGGGACATTTTGGGAAAAAAAGATTGACGCGCATGATTAAAATCGACGCGCGCGCTGACCAGAGACCGACTTATTATTTTGTTTGGCCTTAGATACACTTTTTTTTTGGGGGGGGGGGGTTCAATGTCGGGAAAAAATTGTGAGGACTCGAACCTATACAACCTGCAGCAATGTGACCACAGACTACTATTACTACTACTACTACTACTACTACTTCTACTACTACTACTGTGGCAGGACACGGTGCCGCATCGCTTTTCACTGTGAGTCTCAGCAACGTTCGAGTAGCTTACGCATGCAAATAAACATTAAACGAGAGCGTTCGTTTAGCCATCACATTATACTCATGTCTGCGCCGGTGTCAATCACCAGTGCCCCACTTCGCAAGCGGGTACCGGGTGGATGCCCCACGGGTATTGACTTAGCCGGACGAGTTCTTGGCTCGATTGAAGATGGCGGAAACTTGAATTAATACAATTAAGAGAGTATTTTATAACTCAAACGTAATACAATTTTAGTTAGCATGACCACTTGGACAGACAAGTTTTAGATAATTCCTGGAATATCTTGCGATTCGAGCAATCATTGATAAAAAATATTTCAATTTTACCATCTGACCGGACGACAGCATTTGGTGTGTCTACATTGTATAGTCCAAACTGGTAGTCAATAAATATACCTATGTCTTGAATACCGTATTTTCATTGGCCTAGAACGATCATGTGTTGAGTATATAAAAAAGTTATGGCACACTCCTTCTTGGATATAACGTACCACAGGGAGTGTGCTATGACTTTGAACGTACGGTACGTATGGGAGTGAAACGCCTGTATCGTTGGTACCCACGCTGTTTTCACATTTTTTTTAACACATGAGTGGGAGCAGCAAACTAGCAGACGAGCAAGCAGACTGCTGTTTCTTTTCATGATCCAAAGAATCCAAGACAGGGATATAACAAAACAATTGTTGTTCGCCTCGGGTGCTATACCTCATATCACATCAGTCAACAACTGTGATGCGATCAAGCTAAATGAGTCATTTGTCGACCCTGGTCAATTTCTTTTTACAGATTTGAAAAGAGCACATCTCAGCATTACTGCTGTGAAAACCGCACGCTGATACCATCTTTAGTTAAAAAATTATGGATGTCGGAACACCAAGAGATGTGATGAAGTGATGTGATGAAGTGGCCCTATTTTGGCCTGAATCGCCAAATGAAAGTTCCCGACAAACGACTCTTTTAGCTTGATCGCATCACAAGATATATAGTGACCTCCCCCTTTCCCCCACTGGAAACTATCAATAGTACCAGAAACAAGTAAATTATGGAGCATGGTCAACTATAATAATGCATTCTGCAAATTTTGAATATATGAAATAAATCAGTAATATTGCCGAGCGTCCTTTTCAGGTTCTCTAGTTCAATTATTTCGACATGTTGAATAGAGACAGGAAAATGTCCGAGATTCAGAGTCGGTAGCCGGCACAATTCTTCAGCTCCCGTACTGGTTCATTAGACCCACTTAGTGGAAGCACAAGTACCACTTATACTCGACAATCTAAACAGCAGCCATCATTAATTGTACGTAATGGAGCTCCACACATGACATCTACTCTGTAACTAGTATGGTGATCCACGTCTGATTCACGCTCTAACTTCAGCAGCAAATTCGGGAAGTGATATTGTCCCTGCTGTTTAGGTTTGATTCGATTGTGAACGTTTTACAGTAAAACGGGCACAGTAGAATCTTTGCCTGCAGATTTACACCATAAATATATGTTGGTTTCCGACAAACCAACGCTTACATTAAAACTTATAATTCCTTGAAATGCTGGTAATTTATATTACATGTAAACGACTACTCGCTTTTTAATTCCACCTCTGACGGTCATGCAAAATGTACGCTAATTTTCCTTTTTTTTTAAGGCAATCCGACTATGTAATTAGTTCTGTTTGTATTTACTTTTAATATACACAGAGCTCCCTCTCTGTGTTTGCACTGTATTTCGAACGCTTCACCCTCTCTTCATAATTATCGTTCTTTGCCGAAGACTCGATCATACAGTTTTGTCTTTGCACTTCAAAGGTACTTGTGTTTCATTGTGTGAAGTTATATTCTGTGATCATTCATTGTAAATTAAATGTAGTTTATAGTATTCTATCACATACTTAAGGACTGCACGGCCCACCACATTCCTCATTGTAAACTCTTGTTTGGCATTATTATTGATTGTATTATAGTTTGATGTGATTTTGAAAGTAAAAGCAAGACTATAAATGTTCGAGATTTCGAAGGTTCTCAGAATATCGTTTTGGCGTTGGATATTGTTGAGGAAACCATAGAAGCATTCATTTCTGTTGTTATCTTACCACAATTACACATGGTCTGTTTAAAAACGATCTTTTCTAAATAGGTGCATGGATCCCGGCTTAATTTTGGCGCGATCCGCGGGTGATTTAATATATGTTTTAATTACCGTTATTTGTATTTTATTCATTACGTTAATTATTATAAATCGATGTGTTGTTCTTTGCAAGTAACATAATCAGGCCGTTTCGGCTTCTCTGTTTGCGGCGCACAAAATGAATTGAATGCCTGTTGGAAGACGCAATACCTACAAGTATATTCAAAGGAATCAGTCCGTCGGAATCGCTCTAAGGCCCGATTTGGACGGATGCGCTACGCTTACTCGACGTAATAAATGCACAGTGAAACGCAAACAAGACCCACACTGCAACGCAGACATATGGAAACATTTTATCTGTGAATGCCACGTCCCAGACAGACGCAAACTACAGTGTCGTTGGGTGCCTGCAAGAAGGTCGTAGCAGCCAAATAGTTACGCCATGCCGTTGTTAGGCAAAGCTAATCCGATTACATACTTAGACGCTAGTACAGAGCAGTGAAATTCATGCACCCTCAAAAACATGGCCTTTGGAACGTTTTGTTTCTCAAAAAAATATGCTCAGTATGATTGAAATGTTAAAATATAACGGAAGAAGACATTCTAAACTTTATGTCAGTGAAAAAAATCGCCGTCATCGATGCCGAAACGTCAATACTGGTTTTTACTGGTAAAGCTGACCTTCAAATCTGAAAGAAATTGTTCGAAAACCTCCCCAAATCTATGTATTTATATCAGTTTCTAGGAATTTCACGGAAGTTGTTATTTCACGAGTAGTTGAACACGCATATAAAGTATATTTTGAATTTCAGCTTAATCTGTTTTTGCTAACGCTTGTGTTACATATTGAATCATCTCTAAGGAAAATTTCGGCTACGAATTTTAGCGACCAAACCCACGTGTATAGTTTTCCTATAGCACAGTATACGGTTGACCGATTTCGGCCCGGCCACACAGTGGACAATCGCATATTAGCATACTCAATAGCGTCACTCGGCGTGGCTTGGCGTGGGTCTCGGTGTCGACCAATAGAAGCCTGCAAAAAGGGTGATATTATCAATTAATAACTCGTGAAGGAGGCTTTTACGCAAATAGTTACTGCACACCATAATGGATAGGAACATTTATGAGGCTTGAAAAGATTGACAGACGTTGCTAACGCCACTGTTACAACTTTCAAATATGCACGTAGCCAGGCCTATTTTTCCAATTTCAACAAAAAGTAAAGAACATATCGCAACGATTTTTAGTACATAATTGGATCATTATAAGGCGAGGCGTCATAAATAAATTAACCGTTCGCACGCGTGCGCACGCGTTCCTTCCCGTTCTGAACGGCCCCCGTTCCTTCCCGTGCCGAACGGCTTTTAGAACGCGTTCCGTAGATCGTGCTTGGGCAAGTTTCACTGAGGGGGTATTGTTATGTTAATCAACCGTTCCTTTGCGTGCGAGAACGGGAGCAGCACAACAAAGATGCGAAGAACAACTATGTGTATATACTTGTACAGAAAAAAAATCCGTTTTGGTTTGGAATTTAAATCAGATTTGGAATTTGAAAACCCGATATCGGAGCAAGCATTAAATAAAAAAAACATTTCAGAGTTTAGACAGCACGAGCAGGTATGAGGAGTTTGATAAGATTGATGCCTTTTTATCCTTAAATATCGTTGTCTGCCGCTGGGCGGGGCGAAAAAATATGTATGGTCTAGGTTATATTAAAAATGCGGAGATTGGAAGGGTTAAAAAAATATTTGGTGGGCGGCTACATGCTCAGAATAAAAGCAATAACATCGTTGTCGGCCGCAGGGCGGGGCGAAAAAAAATGTATGGTCCATGCAGGTTCTATTAGAAAATGCGGAGATCGGAAGAGTGAATAAAAAAATTCGTGAGCTACATACTCAGAACTATCTTATTGGTGGTAAATTTCGCCTTCATAGCATAACGATCTGCCCAGCTAGCTGTTGCACTGCGTGATACTATCGACAAATTCCCACGCTGTCCTTACTTGGCAAGGAGCCAAACTTGTTATCGTCCGCGCCCAGAAGATCCTCTCGAATTGCCAACGGCTGTTTACTGTGCCTACTGTCGACTGATGCTGAGCAGCGTAGTGCACAGCCGACGCTGTGCCTTTTCGATGCTGGGGAATCACAATGGCCTGTATTCAACCCTGTTTAACAATAACAATTTATTCAGGTTTATATAATGGGATCAAGCTCGGATTTCTGGCGTGGCAAAAAATAAAACCCTGTGTGCTGAGATGGAAAGAGTTAATATTTTATGGTGGACTGGATTCTTGGAACATCCTCCATGCTTTTGGGCCTAGTGGGGGTACAAAATGACGCTGTCGGGCGGGGCGAAAGTAAAAACCCTATAGATGTGGTCCACGTTCCAACAAAGAAATGCTAAGTTGGGAAGAGTTATTATTTAAGGTGAGCTAGCTGGATACGTAATAAAAAATATTATACAACGCCTGAATAAATCCGCGTCATCTGATTGGTGGATCGTTGATCACATGTCATGAATTATTCGTACCATTGCACGGCGCGCGAGTGGCGCGCAGTGCAATGATACTAGTTCTATTGCACTGTGATTAGAAGTTCTATTGCACTGTGATTAAAAGTCAACCAATCAGATGACGAGGATTTATTGATTCATTATTTAAACAAATAATGAATGTTTCACGTTCGTGCAATGGAAAGAATAATTTCATTCGGTGACAGATTGAATGTTCTATTCAACTCGGCTTCGCCTCGTGGAATAGAACATTCAATCTGTCACCTCATGAAATTATTCTTACCATCGCACTCACAAACATTCGTTATTTGTATAATAATGCAGTTGGGCGGGGTAAAATAACAATTGGGTTTCCGCAATCTTATTGTATATTTTGTGCACAAATGGAATTTCGATGGTTATCACAATGCGACTGTCTGTCAGTCTAAATACCAATTTTGTTTATAAATTAAAATACCTCATATCTTTTTTTTTTAATGGACGCGATTGAAATCTGTTTCTAGAACTTTATTCCATAAATAGTTTACAGCCTTGGGCGATTGGCTGCCGAACCTGTCCGTCATACAGGACTTTGTGCTCTGCTGTGCAGCTCAGGCTGATCTTCCTGGTAATACAGATGAGCTACTGATGTCTGATTCCTGGAGAGCGCTCCTGTGCCTCAGAGACAAAGACTTGTGTGCGCGGGTGACCCTTGGTCTGTTACCCAGACTGCCAGTGGCTGTGGGTCTGCAGTTACTGGAGCACTGTGTGGCAAATCCTGCCTTAGAAGCCAGTCTGAAGATGGTTATCACAATGTGACTGTCTGTCAGTCTAAATACCAATTTTGTTTATAAATTAAAATACCTCATATCTTTTTTTTTTAATGGACGCGATTGAAATCTGTTTCTAGAACTTTATTCCATTAATTGTTTACAGCTCTCAAGACAAATACTCAAAATAAGCATACAAAAATTATTGTAAGGGGGAAGTAAAAAAAATATACAATCAATTGTTAATGACAAGTGGTTTAAATGATAAGCTTTATTTGTACACATTTTATGAACCCAAGACTGATATTTCGTTTGTTAGCAAAG